AACAAGAAATAGACCAGGTGCCGTCCAAAAGTAGAGCAGACCCGGCCCAAAAGTAGACCAGACCCCGCCCAAACGTAAACCAGACCACGAAGAGGTAGAACACACCCCGTCCAAAGGTAGAGCAGATCCCGCCCAAAAGAAAACCAGACCACCAAGAAGTAGACCAGACCCCGTCCAAAAGTAGACCAGACCCCGCCCAAAAGTAAGCCAGACCACCAAGAAGTAGACAAGACCCCGACCAAAAGTAGAGCAGCCCTGGCCCAAAATCAGACCAGACCGCCAAAAAGTAAACCAGACCCCGCACATGAGAACGCCAGACTACCCATCAAAGCGCTCAGACCGCCAAAAAGTAGACCAGCCCCCGCCCAAAAGTACACCAGACCTTCCAGTAAAGCAAGCCAGGTATGCCAAAATTAGACTAGACCCCGTCCAAAAGTAAACGAGACCACCCAAAAGTAGACCAGGTCTCGTGTAACAGTAGAGTAGACCCCGCCCAAAAGAAAGCCAAACTACCATGAAAGCAGGCCAGGCCGTTCAAAAACAGACCAGACCCCGCCAGAAAGTAAACCAGACCTCCCAGTGAAGCAAGTCAGGCCACCCAAAAGTCGAGCAGAGTCCGCCCAACAGTAAGCCACACCACCCAGAAGTAGGCCAGACCCCGTCTAAAAATGGACCAGACCCCACCCGAAAGTAAAGCAGATCGTACGCACATAAACCAGACCCCGCCCAAAAGTAGACTAGACCCCGCCCATACAGTGGACGGGGAATGCAGGAGCGGTGGGACAGACAACGAGGAGAACGACGGCGACCAGGATCATGCACAGGGGGGAGGAGGAGGAGGAGGAGGAGGAGGAGGAGGAGGAGGAGGAGCAGCAGGAGGAGACGCAACAGGCAGGTGGGAGGAGCACGAGAAGGGAGAAGCGTGGGTGGATGAGGTGGACGAGGACGCGGATGATGATGCGAACGACGATGTTGATGACGATGTTGATGTGATGACAACGGTGATGCTGATGTTGATGGCGATGACGAGCGATGATGATGACGAACGATGATGCTGCTGAGGATGCTGATGATTATGATGATGACGATGATGATGACGATGATGATGCTGATGATTATGCTCATGATGAGGATGACGATGATGATGATGATGATGATGATGATGATGACGATGACGATGATGATGGTGATGATGATGACGGTGGTGGTGGTGGTGGGGTCATGATGATGACGATGACGATGATGATGATGATGATGATGATGATGATGATGATGATGATGATGATGATGATGTTGCTGCTGCTGCTGCTGATGATGATGATGATGATGATGATGATGATGCTGCTGCTGCTGCTGATGATGATGATGATGATGATGATGATGATGATGATGATGATAATGATAATGATGATGATGATGATGATGATGATGATGATGATGATGATGATGATGATGATGATGATGATGATGATGATGATGATGATGATGATGATGATGATGATGATGATGATGATGATGATGATGATGATGATGATGATGATGATGATGATGATGATGATGATGAAGAGAAGGAGGAGGAGGAAGAGGAGGAGGAGGATGAGGAGGAGGACGAGGAGGAGGAGGCGGAGGAGGAAGAGAAGGAGGAGGAGGAACCGAAGAAAGAAGACCGGGCCGGTTCTGGAACCGAGGAAAGAAAACCGGGCCAATTCTGGAACCGTGGGGAGAAACCAGGCCGTTTCTGGAACCGAGGGAAGAAAACTGGGCCAGTTCCGGAACCGAGGGAAGAAAGCCGGGCCAGTTCTGGAACCGAGGGAAAGAAAACCGGGCCAGTTCTGGAACCGAGGGAAAAAACGGGGCCGGTTCTGGAACCGAGGGAAGAAAATCGGCCGGTTCTGGAACCGAGGGAAGAAAAACCGGTTGGTTCTGGAACCGAGGAAAGAAAAGAGGGCCAGTTCTGGAACCGAGGGAAGACAATTGGCCGGTTCTGGAACCGAGGGAAGAAAATTAGCAGTTCTGAAGGAGAAAATCGGCCGGTTTTGGATCCCGCGAGGGAAGAAAGCAGGACAGTTTGGAACCGAGTGGAGGGAACCAGCCCGTTGAAATCGGGTTGGGTTCTGTAACCGAGGGGAGAAATTTGGTCGGGACTCCGAAGATGTTTTCTTCCCTCGGTTGCGCAACCGAGAGAAGAACACAAAGACGGATTTGGTATGCTGGCGAGAAAGTTGTGGTCGGTGTAAGGCCCGCAACTAGCTTCGAGCCCAACATACCGAATCTGAGTTATTTTTCTTTTCTCGGTTGCGCAACCGAGAGAAGAAAATGAAACCTTCCCAATGGCCAGTTCTCCTCCCTCGGTTCCATAACCGGCTCAGTTGTATTCCCTCGGCCCTGGAACTGGGCGGTGTTCTTCCCTCGGTTCCAGAGCCGCCCCGTTTTTCTCCCCTCTGTTCCAGAACCGGCCAGTTTTCTTCCCTCGGTTCCAGAGTTGGCCCGGTTTTCTTGAAGCGAGCGCTGCCGCTGCCCCGAACCGGCACCATTGCGATCAGACGCCCCGAATGCTGGTTGCCTTTAGCAGCCGCCCAAGCGGCCGCCCCACCATGCTGCTTCGCGCCAGAGGTCGAGAATCATCGCCAGTGGCCAGCGTCCTTGGGCACCATCATCATCACCACATGGCACTCTATCGCTGTCAGCGTTTCCTTTTCCACCGCCGCAAGCGGTGGATCCTTCGCAAGCGAATGTTTCCCGCCTGCGTCCACGAACAACTGAGCAGCCGCGTCCTTCGAGTCGCCACGACGCTGGTGCCTAACGGCCATGCGGGCTAGAGCCATGGACAAACTCGTCGAAGTCCAAACAACCACGCAAACATAAAAAAAGAGGCTGTTCCTCGCAGAGTGTTCCCGCGGCCTACGCCCCCGGTGTCCTTCGCGCAAGATTCGGGGTCGGTTGCCCCCGCTGCAGTCCTTGGCGCGAGTGCGCCCTGGCGAAACTCCTTGTCATGCGAGAGCGAAAGCAAAAACTGCAGCGAAACCAGCCATCGTCTCCATCGCGGCGTGGGTGCCCCACGAAATCTTGCGCTGGGCGCGTGCTCCCGCCGCAGGCGCAATACGTAACTGTTGCCGCGCCTGGCACGCAGGAGGCATATATTTTTCTGGCCTGCGCGCTGTCTGAGAGAAGGCGGAGCGTCGCAGACTCTGTCGCGAGCACCTTGTCCTTCGGTACGAAACCCGCCGAGGCATTGCTTGAGGCAGGGGCCTCGAAGAGTGATGCTCTCCGCGCCTGCGCCTCAGCATGGGACTGGCTCGACGGGCTCCCCCCGACAAGCGAGATCCTCGACCCCGTGTGTCGCGATAGAGTACACACCTTCGCCGTGTCGCGTGGGCGTCGCGCCAGAGGTTGCGATTTCGACGGCCAAAATGGCGCAGACCGCCTCCGCCTTTTCGTAGTAATTTGCACCTGCGTCCGGCAGGCCTTCTTCAGCCCCGGACCCCGTGCCAGCTAGCAGGGGCCAACCTGTCTCCTCGACAGGCGCGTCCAGGCCCTCAGCCACCGCGCCAACCTTGGGAGCCAGAGGGCGGGGCAAAAACTTCGCTCCCTCCCCCATTCCTCCCCCTCCCCTCCCCCATTCTTCCCACTCCTCGTCTGGTCTGCTTGTGTGCGGGGTCTGGTCTGCTTTTTGGCGGGGTCCGGTCTACTTTTGTCCAAGGTCTGGTCTACTTTTGGTGCGGATTCTAGTATACCTTTTGATGGGGTCTGGTTTATTTGTGGGCGGTCTGGTCTACTTTTGGGCGGTGTCTGGTCTACATCTGGGCGGTGTCTGGTCTATTAGCGGGCGGTCTGGTCTACTTTTGGGCGGGGTCTGGTGTATTTTTCGGCAGGGTTTGGTCTACTTTTGGGTGGTCTGGTCTACTTTTGGGCGGGGGCTCGTCTACTTTTTAGCGGGGTCTGGTCTACTCCTCGGGTGGTCTGGTATACTTTTGAGCGGGGGCTGGTCTACTCCTGGGCGGGGTATGGTCTACTTTTGGGTGGTCTGGCTGACTTTTCGGCGGGGTCTGGTCTACTTTTGGGCGGGGTCTGGTCTACTTTTGGGCGGTCTGGTCTACTGTTGGGCGGTGGGTCTACATTTGGGCGGGGTCTGGTTCACTTTTGGGGGGTCGGGTTTATTTTTTGACGGGGGAAAAGGGGGGGCCAAGTGGGGGGAGAGAGGGGGATAAGGCAGCAAGGCGGAGGGGGGGAGGGCGACGCCTCCTCGTCGTCGTCGTCGTCTTCCTCCTCCTCCTTCTCCTCCTTTGTCCTTCTCCTCGTCCTTCTCCTCCTCTTCTTCCTCTGCCCCCTCCGCATTTTCTGAGTCCTCGTCCTCCTCATCCTCGTTCTCCTTGTCCTCGTCTTCTTCCTTTTGCCTTCCTCCTCCTCCTCCTGCTCGTCGTCCTCCTCCTCTTCGTCCTTCTCCCCCTCCTCCTGTCTCTTCTCTCTTCGCGCCCCGCGGGCCATTCAGCGTGGGGCACAGAGAGGGTCCACGGCTGTCTCTTCCCAGCTGTTGCGAGACCAGCGAGGACAACGACGACCACGACGACGGCGGCGGCGGCGACGCTTATTGCGAAGATTTTGGCCTTGGTGGACCAGCCAGGACGTTGGCTGTGGCGTTGGCGGTGGCGCTGCGACCGCCGATGGCGATGGCGTCCGCGGTCCGCGCACGACCGCGGCGCAAGCGGTCGCCTGCGCCGCCGCCCGCACAAGGCCAGTTTTCTTCCCTGCTTGTCGGGCGGCCTGACGGCGGGGAATCGCCTCAGGTCTTGGTGGGTCGGTTCGGCGGCGGCCGAGGCATGAGCGTTGTTGGGTATAGCAGGTGCCAGTGGTCATTGGAAACGTCGTGCAGTGATTCCGAGGGCCGCCATGCTGCTGCTCTGGTCCCTGCCTCATCTTCAACCGCGCTAGCATTTGGATTTGTCCATTACGAGATTTTCAATGTTTGACAGCTGACGCAATTCGTGCCCGTCCCTGCCAGCATGCAGGACGATATTCATAGACCTTCGCACTGCCCGAGCCTGTTGGACACGATCGTTGGCAAGGCAGCTGGCACCTGTTCCATTGCGAACCGCCGTTCGGCGGCGGCAGATATGTTGGACTCCGTGTGCTACGTGTTCCTGTTGACTCTTTCGGTGTTGGCCAGCGTACTTGCGGCCACGTCGGAGGTCGTGCTGTTGTCGTGTGAGCCGTGCGCTCGATCGATGATGGCAGGCCTCGCGCAGAACCACCTGACGCGATCCATCATCCGACGATGGCGGCGTCTGCATTGACCGCCCAGGGCGTCTGCGAAACAGGCTCGAACACGGGAAGCAGGAACGCTGCCCTCGCACCAAAACGTCGTGGTGCAGCTGCCGCCGCCCAGGGAGTCCATCCCGCCCGTTAGGGCCTACCCGCCCGATCTTCCCGTCTGGTTCTGTCACCTGTTTTCTGCTCTTCGCCCCCCTCCTGCTACTCCCTCTCGTGTTCCATCCTCCTCCCTCCCCCTAGTCCCTTCCATCCGTCCTCGTCGCCGTCGTCGTCGTCGTCGTCGTCGTCGTCGTCGTCTTCGTCGTCCTCGTCCTCGTCCTCGTCCTCGTCCTCGTCCTCGTCGTCGTCGTCGTCGTCGTCGTCGTCGTCGTCGTCGTCGTCGTCTTCGTCGTCGTCGTCGTGGTCATTCTCCTCGTGGCCGTCGTCGTCGTCGTCGTCGTCGTCGTCGTCGTCGTCGTCATCGTCGTGTCGTTGTCGTCCTCTTCGTCCTCGTCGTCGTCGCCGTCGTCGTCGTCGCCGCCCGTCGCGAGGCGCGGCTCTCCGCTTTGCGCGTGCGCGTGGACGGGCAGGACCCGCGCAAACCGCCGCCGTGCGCGCGGGCCGCCGCCGTGCGCTGCGCCGTCGCCCTCCGTGTCCGCCCGCGGCCGGAGAGGGCCCACCGACAAGCGGGCCCGACAGCGAGGAGGGGGAGGGAGGGAGGGAGGGAGGGAGGGAGGGAGGGAGGGAGGAGGGAGGGAGGGAGGGAGGGAGGGGAAGGAGGAGGAGGAGAGGAGGAGGGAGGAGAAGGAGGAGGAGGAGGAGGAGGAGGAGGAGGAGGAGGAGGAGGGCGGGAGGGAGGGAGAGAGAGGGAGGGAGGGACGGAGGCAGGGAGGGGGGAGGGAGGGAGGGAGGGAGGGAGGGAGGGGGGGGGGCAGGGAGGAGGGAGGGAGGGAGGGAGGGGAGGGAGGGAGGGAGGGAGGGAGGGGAGGGAGGGAGGGAGGGAGGGGGAGGAGGAGGAGGAGGAGGAGGAGGAGGAGGAGGAGGAGGAGGAGGAGGAGGAGGAGGAGGAGGAGGAGGAGGGGAGGAGGAGGAAGAGGAGGAGTAAGAGGAAAAGGAGGAGGGGAGAGGAGGAGGGGAGGAGGGAGGGAGGGAGGGAGGGAGGGAGGAGGGAGGGAGGGAGGGAGGGAGGGAGGGAGGAGGAGGAGGAGGAGGAGAGGAGGATGAGGAGGAGGAGGAGGAGGAGGAGGAGGAGGAGGAGGAGGAGGAGGAGGAGGAGGAGGAGGAGGAGGAGAGGGAGGGAGGAGGGCGCGGACAGGCGCCGTCCTCCGCGGCCCGCGCCCGCCGACGCTGTCGCCGCCTGCCGGCCCTCAGCAGCGCCCGCCGCGGCGCTGCCGCCGGCACCCCTGGCCCTCCAGAGGTCCCCGCCAGAGAGCGGAGGCAGGACCGGGACGGAGACGGACCGCCCCGCCCCCCCTCAGTGCGCCCTAGCCAGACGAGGGGAGAGTCTCCCACTGGCGAAGTCCGGTGCGCAGCGAGGCCCGACGCGCCGCCACTCTGGTCCCGGGCACCCCTGGCCCTCCAGAGGCCTCTTCCGAACCACGGGGTCAGGATCGGGACAGAGCGCGTCGCCCCGCCCCCCTCTCGGGGGTTGCTGATTGTGCCCGTGGCCCAAGGTGCCCCCAGCTTTTCGCTTTACTTTGGAGCCCCTTGGGTCCTCCTTGCCTCGTGTGGGGTGCTCTGGAGGCCGTCTGGCCCCCCCCCCCTCCCGGAGAATCTTGGGGGCACCATGGGCCAGGGGCACTTTTAGCAACACCCGACTTTCTGCGCGCCCTACCCAGAGGAGGAGAGAGTGTCCCACCGGCGAAATCCGGTGCACAGCGAAGCCCTGCTCTGGTTGACCCAAAAGGGGTCCAATTGAAAGGGGGTGGTGCAATAGAATTGGCGCAATAGATTTGTAGGGTTGTAATAGATTTGGGGCGTGCAGTACACATCGGTGCGCGAATGTATTGCTGGATGTTCGCGTGAAATACACTAGCTGCAATACAATGCAATGCAATTCTCTGGCGCAATACATTTGCAATACTAATGCCCAATATCTACTGCACCATCCCCTTTCAGCTGGACCCCCTTTTTGGCTCAACCAACCTGCGCGCCGCCACGCTGGTCACGGGCAGGATGTGCTGCCCCGCGGAGGGGGACGAGGAGGGGGGAAGCAGGCAGACGACGACGAACGCGCAGGCGGGCGGCTGGGCCTGGGAATCTCCGAGATCCAGTGGTTCCGAGGGACGTATCGAGGCCGATGTGCAGCGCCCTCTGAGAAGCAGCCTTCTTCCAAGAAGCCCTCCCCCTCCCCCTGCCTCCCTGTGCGCGCCGCCACATCGGGCACGACTTGCTCCGCCCGTCCGCCCACCTGCTCCCGCCCGACGGCCCTGGCCTCCCCGCCGGCGCGCGCGTGGCGTACTCTGTTGCTGGGCGGCACCGGCCAGACCGCATGTGGACGCTAGCCCTGAGGCTCTGGAGCGCGGGCCGCCTTTTTTTCCGCGGCGGGAGTGTGCTAGTGGCGCACGCGTTGGCGAGCCGCGGCAGGGCCAGGACAGGGGCTCCCAGAGGGCGGAAGCGGCTTGCAGCGCCACCCTGGGGAGCCCGTGGAAAGGACGGGGTCCGATACCAGAGTCTCCAGAGTCTCCTGCTCCTCCTCCTCCTCCTCCTCCTCCTCCTCCTTATCCCTTCTCACGCCCCCCCTCCCCCCTCCACTTCTTGCTCTCTTTCCCAACCGTGTGCGCGTGGGTGCGCGGTCGTCTTCGTCTTCGTCTTCGTCTTCGTCTTCGTCTTCGTCTTCGTCTTCGGCGTCCTCGTCCTCGTCCTCGTCCTCGTCCTCGTCCTCGTCCTCGTCCTCGTCCTCGTCCTCGTCTTCCGTCGTCGTCGTCGCCGTCGTCGCCGTCGGTCGTTGGCCGTCGGATGTCGTCGTCTGTCGTCGTCGTCGTCAATCCTCCTCCTCCTCCTCCTCCTCCTCCTCCTCGGCGGCGAACTCCGGAACGAGTATTTGTTTTTCTTACCATTGAAGCTTGTCTCCCAACCTCCGTTCTGACTGTGACGCCTGGCACACTCGGCACGCTCTATGACAGCAGCAGGGCTCGAAAGCGAGGCCAGTGACGTACGACAGGGGCAGGGATATGAGCCTCCGCACGCGCACAGCGAGGGGGGGAGGAGGGCGCTTCGGAGTGCCCTGAACGTCTCCAGAGGTTCCCTGGAGTCTCCAGGGTCCCCCGAGGTCCCTTGAGGCCTCTCGCCTCTGCAATGGAGACCTCTGGAAGTTCACCAAGGATGGAGAAAACCGAAACACCTCGATCCTCGAACCCCGATCGATCGACGATCGGTCGACGACGACAACGAGCGCCGATGCCGATTGCGGCGACTGATGGCATGATCCACTCATCACTCACACTCATACTCACTCATAGTGAGACTTTCTCGCACAGGCTAACCGACGCTCAGCTTCAGTCCAATTCCGGCTCGCTCACACTCAGACTTACTGATTCTCAGGCTTCAATTTCAGACTAATTCGCACTCTGATTCAATCACATTCAGACTCACTTACTCTCAGACTGACTCAAATCCACACTAACTTACAGTCAGACTCACTCAAATGCATACTCACTCACACTCCGACTCGCTCAGGCTCAGACTCCCTCACACTCAGACTCACTCATCCTCAATCTCACTCGCACTTAGGCGCACTCATTCCAAGGGGTAGCCGCCAATGGTAATTGGACCTCTTTCTTCGCGCCCATATTGTGGGGAGGTCTCATGCGTTGCCCATTTCGCCCCTTCAGACTTTCTGGTTTGGTGGTCCAATGCTCACCGCGATGCAGCAGGCGTGGCACTTGGGCACCCAAAGGGGAAGCCAGGCGTGGTGCTCTCACTTCGTTCCTCGCGTTCAGATAATGGGGATGCCTCAGGCGGCTTGCCTGTTTCGGCCCTCAGGCTTTTTTTGTGGTCCAATTGTCACGATGCTCTAGCAGGCGTGCCATTGGGGACTCCAAAGGGGAGCCGCCAGGGGTGAGGACATGTCATTCTTCGTGCCCAGATTGTGGGGCTGTCTCATGTGGTTTGTGTTTCGCCTCCCCCCTCCCGGGTTTATCCCTCGTCGTCGTCCAGTGCTCACCGCGATGTACCACGTGTGGCACTCGGGCACCCCAAGGGGGGAGCCGCCAGGGGTGGGGACACTCCAGCCTTCGCGCCCAGACTGTGGAGATGTTTCAGGCGGTGGCCCCTCGGCCTTTCTCTTCTGGTGGTCCAGTGCTCGCCGCGATACCGCAGGCCTGGCACCTGGTCCCCCCAACGGGGAGCCGCCACGAGCGTTTGCACTTCATTCATCGCGCCCAGTTTGTGGAGATTTCTCAGGTGGTTTGCTTGTTTCGGCCCCCTCCAGCCTCCAGGCTCGTCTGTTGTGTGCTCCCCACTCACTCATTTACCTTCTCCTGTTCGTTCTCACCCAGATACATTCATTTACACCGAGACATACTGATCAGCAATTCTCAGACTCACGCATACCAATGTTCACTCATAATCAGACTCGCTCAGTCTTCGACTCACTCGCATTCATATTCATTCGCATTCAGACACTCTCACATTCATATTAACTCACACTTAGACAGACTCACGTTCGGATTCACCCACCCTCAGACTCACTCATTTTCAGACTCACTCGTATTCAGACTCACCCATACTCAGGCTCATACTAATCAGACACATATGCAGACTCACTTGCACTCATATTCGATCGCACTCCGACTCAGTCGCACTCAGAACCACCCACACAGATTCACTCATACTCAGACTCACTCGTAATCAGACTCACTCACACCCACACTCACTCACATTCAGACTCAATCATACTCGGTCTCGCTCACACAGATCACTCACACTCAGGTTCACGCGCATGAGGACTCACACGCAGCGGGTCGCAGTGATATCGTAGGCGTGGCACTCGGACACCCCAAGTGCCAGCAGGCGCCGCGAGTAGCACACCAGAGAGCGGGCGTAGCAGCGCCATGTGCTCCGGCCTGAGTTGCCGCAGTGGGAAAGGCACGAGGAATTCCCCCTCGCTCTTCCACTTGTGCGTCCTCCCTCTCTCTTGAAACATGTCCAGAGGAGGAGGACGTCACTGAAATCGTCGCTGTCGTCGTCGTCGCGCCCCCCAGAGAGCCAGATAGATGGCCCCAGGAGGGCCCCAGCAAGCGTCAAGAGGGCGCAAATGAGTTCACAAAGGACCTAAAGAGGGCCCCAAGATGGCACACCGCAGAAGCAAGACTGTAGCCATTTTGGTTCGAGTAGCCTGTGGCTCAAGGAGGGGCCGGGCCACACGGGTGGCTCCCATTGCATTGGCAAGTCACCCACGCTCAGAATGGGATCGGTCTGCAGCTGTCGTCGAGGAGCCCATCCCAGCTTCGCCCGAAATCAAGCTCCCACCGTGGAGCTACGTGAGGGGACCACCCAGAGGCTGCAAAAGAGGCGTCGCACAGGGGCAGATGAGGCCGCAGAAGATAATGCAGTGACTTCAGCACCGTCAAGATTGGTGAGCTCAGGCGCACCTCGAGAGGATGGTGCATGGCCAGAGACTTTAGCACAAAGGGTGGCAGACATCGGAGAATCGGTCATCTCTTCATGGGCAGACGCAGCAGGACCTCCATTTGGTATCTGCTCGGTGTGCTTTCAGCGTGTCGCCAAGCCTGTTGCCGTGGCGTGCGGGCACGTCATATGCAGGGACCACCTGACCATCGATGCGGCAACGAGCTGCCGCTGGGCGCCTGCATGTCTGGAGCGCGAGCCCCCGGGCGGCCAGGACCGGCAGCGCGCTCCTGCGCCGGCGCCTGTGGTGGTGGCGCTGCTGGATCACGGAGTGGCCTCGAGCGCTGCCAAGGAAGGGTGCCCCCGGCCCACGGCGGAAGATGATGGGCCTGTTTTCCACCACCACCATAAGTTGGAGGGGGGGAAGGAGGAGGAAAGGAGGAGGAGGAGGAGGAGGAGGAGGAGGAGGAGGAGGAGGAGGAGGACCCCTTCCCTTTCCTACCTATGGTGGTGGTGGTGGAAAACAGGCCCAGCAGAAGAACCAGCTTCCAGAGTGTCGGCCGCAAGGTCGCCTTTGGAGGCCATTGAGGCGTACGAGAAGCATGCGGCTGCAGCTGAAGATGATGGCCGCGTGGGCGACGCAGCCGTCGCGCGATTGAAGGTGGTTCAACTCTGGGATCGCTTTGCAGTCGAAGCGCCGAACATGGCTTCCCGCTTTGACCACTTTCGTCATCTGCTTACTCCAAGCCGATCGGTGAAGGAAAGGTACGGTGCCTGTCCCACCGGGATTCGGAGCCTCGCGGTGGAGCGCTACGGACAGGCTGAGCATGAAGATCTCCAGCAGGCTTCGAGCTCCTTGCCCGAACTCTTGTGGGGATCATGCCAGAGCTTCCACATCAGCGCTCCTCGCGGAAGCGTGGACGGCCTGCTGTCATCGCTGGAGTGCGCCGTCTGCTACGCCACGCTGTACCAACCCGTGACGGTGGCCTGCGGGCACACATTCTGCAAGCGTTGCTTGGCACGTCAGCTGGACTTCGAGCGCGGTTGTCCACTCTGTCGAGGGCCGCTCGCCGGCTTCATCGATCAGTATGCGGAGACGGCTGGCCTGGGTCAGGCCCTACAGGCCGTGTGCCCGGAATCGGTGCAGCTGGGTCTGCAGGCGCTGGACCAGGAGATTCAGGACATGAAGGAGTGGTCGCCAATCTTCGTCTGCACGCTGGCATTTCCGCATCAGGAGTGCCCGCTGCACATCTTCGAGCCTCGCTATCGGCTGATGATGCGCCGGGCCATCACTTCTGGCACCCGGCGCTTCGGCATGTGTGCTCCAGTTCGGGGCCCGCCCGAGATTTCCCAGAACGGGTACTCGAGGATCGGCACCATGCTGTTCATCCGCGAGATCAAGATGCTTCCAGATGGCAGGTCCCTCGTGGATTGCATCGGGGAGTATCGTTTTGCGGTGAAGGACTGCGGCGAGCGGGACGGTTACAACGTCGCCCGCGTGGACAAGGTAGTCGAGACGAGTTCTGCCCCCGACGAGCTTGTATCCAGGTGCCGCTCGGCGACGTCCAGAGTTCAGACCCTGATGCAGAGAGTCCGGTTGCCTCTCGACTTACTTGGCGAGCACGCCGACTCGGATGATCCGGATAAGTTCTATTGGGGTACCATCTCGAAGCTCCCGGTCAGCGACGGTATGAAATTTAAAGCGCTTACTACAGAGGACCAGTTGGATAGATTCATGCATCTTGCCTCGTTGCTGGACCGCGTCTCTGAGGTATTACTTTCTAAGCACCTGGAGGACACGGGGAGCGCTGGTGATGACGATGAGGTCGAGGATGTTGACGTTGATGCTGAAGTTCGAGAGGAGGGCGACGACACAGAAGCCGAGGGGCCGACCGACGAGGAGCCGGCCACAAGCCCCGAAGATCGTGTAGACAGTCAGCCAGCGCAAGGGCAGTGAGCAGCAGACGGGGCGCTCGCCTCGAGATCGAAGAGGGGCCGACCTTGCCAGGACCAGCTCTCAGTCTTCAGCGCGCAGGGAGCACGGCATCCTCCTCCTCCTCCTTCTCCTCCGTCCTCTTCCTCCTCCCCCTCCTCCTCCTCCTCCTTTTCCTCCTTTTCCTCCTCCTCCTCCTCCTTTCTTCCTCCTCCTCCTCCTCACCCTCCTCCCACTCTTCAGCGCGCAGGGAGCACGGCAGATGCCAGTTTAGGACCAACTTGTACATATCGCAGGGTTGGCAGGTTTTCGGCGTGCGCCCTCTCCAGTTTCTGACCGCACGCGCCTGCCCGGTGGGCGTGCGAGCCACGCGGCAGCACACCGCGGCCGAGAAGGGGGGCCGGTGCGGCCCCAGAGGCTTCGCCAGAGAAGCCCTCTCGGCGCCCTCGAGTGGCGCGGCGCCCCGCATCCCGAAAACGGAGGAGGATGAGGTGGAGGGTGAGGTGGACTGGGGAGGGTGAGGTGGACGGGGGAGGAGGAGGAGGAGGAGGAGGAGGAGGAGGAGGAGGAGGAGGAGGAGGAGGAGGAAGAGGAGGACCCCTCGGGCGTGGCCTCCCTCCCAGCGCCCCCGAAGAAGCGCCGGCGTACCCCGCACTGCCCCACCCGGCTCTGGTCTGCGACCCCGAGCGCGCCCTGCCCCGACAGTTCCGCTCGTCGCTGGCGTATCGGGCGCTCTCGCTGGGGCTCACCTGACTGCGGGCATCCTTCAAATTCTGAGCCGTGGCTGGTCTTTTTGGAATCTGACCTACATGGGTAGATCAGGAGGGACAAAAATCGTACAGACACAATGAATCGTTGATCCCCAGGAAAGGCAAAAGCCCAGAAGATATAGGAAACTATAGGACATCCTGGGATGTGTGTCTATTTGGTTGTGTGTCCCTGGGCCCCTGGAGTAGAGTTCACATGTGCCCGCCCATCTGGGACCCCCGACGCAGAGTGATTTTTTCACAGCGTGGGTTTTCGGAGGTCTCGACCCGTTCCCCAGTACTGGCTTTTCCTCCTGGGCCGGTTTTTGACGGTCCTGGGGCCCGGCTAGGTGACCCAGACGCCGAAGATGGCGAAACCACGTCGTGTTTTTTTTGGGGGGGGCACGACGGGATGAGGGTCGTTGATGGCCACCGCCCCCGGCGCGCGTAGCTTGTGCCGGGCCAGCTTGTTCGTCGGGGTGGTGTGCAGAAATCGCGTCCCCAGGGGGGGCCAATTTTGTACACAACCCCCTCTCCACGGTCTTGTGCCAGACCAGCTCGTTTTTGTGGGGGTGGTGAGCAAAAGTCGTCCAGGGCGCCCCAGTGCAATTGGGTCGCATTGGGTCTGGGGCGCCCCATGCCCGGGAGGGCAGATCGGCGGCGAGTCCGCAGGGGAAGTGCGAAGGGGCGGGCCTTTTCAGCAGGCTCGAACGCCCCTTGGCCTTCAGAGAAGTGCTGCAACACACAGAACCTCTCGGAACGCCCGAGGGCTACTGAGAGGCCCCGCCGCCTTTGAGAGGGCCTGCTCCTCCTCACTTCCCCCCCTCGCTCGCCGCCGAGATGAGGGTCGTTGGGTCTGGGGGCGCCCCGTGCCCGCGCGCTGGCTGCCAGACGCAAACGCAGACGCAGGCGTGGCGCAGGCGCAGGCGCAGGCGCAGGCGCGGGCGCAGGCGCAGGCGCAGGCGTAGGCGCAGGCGCAGGCGCAGACGCAGGCGCAGACGCAGCCGCACACGCGCGCGCACGCGCACACGCACGCGCACGTGCACGCGCACACGCACACGCACACGCACACGCACACGCACGCGCACACGCTCACGCACACGCACACGCACACGCACACGCGCACGCACACGCACACAAGTGCACACACACACGCACATTCTCACGCACACGCGCACGTACACGCACGCGCACACGCACACGCGCACGCACACGCACGCGCACACGCGCACGCACGCACAAGCGCAAGCGCACGCGCACGCACATGCACGTGCACGCGCACGCGCACGCACACGCAAGCGCACGCGCACGCGCACTCGCACGCGCACGCGCACACGCACACGCACACGCGCACGCACACGCACACGCACACGCACACGCGCACGCACGCGCACACGCTCACGCACACGCACACGCACACGCACACGCACACGCGCACGCGCGCGCACCCGCACGCGCACCCCTACACGCGCACGCACACGCATACGCACACGCAAGCGCAAGCGCACGCGCACAGACGCACACGCACACGCGCACGCACTCGCAGACGCACGCGCACACGCACGCGCACGCGCACGCGCACGCGCACGCGCACACGCACGCGCACACGCACGCGCACACGCACACGCACGCGCACGTGCAGACGTTCGCGCACACGTACACGCACACGCACACGCACACTCTCACGCACACGCACACGCACACACGCGCGCACACGCGCACGCACGCGCACACGCGCACGCACACGCGCACGCACACGCACAGGCACGCGCACACGCACGCGCACATGCACACGCACACGCACACGCACACGCACGCGCACGCGCACACGAACGTTCAGACGCACGCACGCACGCACACGCGCACGCAGGTGCACACGCACACGCACGCGCACACGCACACGCACACGCACGCGCACACGCACGCGCACACGCACGTGCACACGCACACGCACACGCAGGTGCACACGCACACGCACGCGCACGCGCACGCGCACACGCACACACACACGCACACGCACGCGCACACGCACACGCGCACGCACGCGCGCACGCACGCGCACGCGCACACGCACACGCACACGCACACGTGCACGCACACACACACACACACCCACGCACACGCACGCGCACACGCTCGCGCTCGCACACGGACACGCGCACGCACGCGCACGCGCATACGCACACGCACTCGTGCACGCACACGCACGCGCGCACGCACAAGCACACGCACGCGCACGCGCACGCGCACGCGCATACGCACGCGCACGCGCACGCCCGCGCACCCGCGCACCTACTCACGCACGCGCCCGGCCACCCCCACGCGCACCCCCACCTGCACCCCCACACACCCACATCCACACACACCCACACACACCCACACACGCCCCTACATATACCCCCACACGCCCCCCCACGCACCACGCCGCACCACACCACGTCACGCCGCACCACGCCACGCCACACCACACCACACCACGCCACACCACACCACACTACGCCGTACCACGCCACGCCACACCACGCCACGCCCACACCACGCCACGCCACACCACACCGCGCCGCGCCACACCACGCCACGCCGTACCACGCCACGCCACACCACGCCACGCCCACACCACGCCACGCCACACCACACCGCGCCGCGCCACACCACGCCACGCCACACCACACCGCGCCACACCACACCGCGCCACACCACACCACTCCACACCGCACCACACCACGCCACACCACACAAAACAACACAACACAACACAGCACAGCACACGACAACATCGCACAACACAACACAACACGACAGGACACGACACGACACGACACGACACCACACAACACAACACAACGCAACACACCGTAACACAGCACAACAAATCACAACGCAACACAACACAACACAACACAACGCAACACAACACACCACAACACAACACAACACAACACAACACATCACAGCACAGCACAGCACAACACAGCACAGCACACCACATCACAACACAGCACAGCACAGCACAGCACAGGACAGCAGCACAGCACAGCACCGCACAGCACAGCAACGCACAGCACAGCACAGCACAGCACAGCACAACACAACACAACACAGCGCAACACAACACACCACAGCCCACCACAACACAGCACAACACAACACATCACAGCACAGCACAGCACACCACACCACACCACAGCACAGCACAGCACAGCAGCACAGCACAGCACAGCACCGCACAGCACAGCACAGCACAGCACAGGACAGCACAGCACAGCACAGCACAACACAACACAACACACCACACCACAACATAACGCAACACAATCCACTACAACCCGACTTAACAGAACACGTCACAACACACCACATCATATCACAACGCAACACACCACAGCACAGCCCACCACAACACACCACAGCACATCATAGCACAGCACACCACACCACAGCACACCACACCACACCATGCCACGCCACACCACGCCCGACCACACCACGCTGCAACACAACATACCACGCCACACCGCACCACGCCACGCCACGCCACGCCACACCAATCCACGCCACGCCGCAACACACCACAACACAACGCAACACAACACAACACAGTACCGAGCGACGCGACACGACACCACGCCACACCACATCCGTAACACACCGCAACACAATACGACACAACACAACACAACACAACGCAACGTACCGCAGCACAGCACAGCACAGCCCAGCTTAGCACAGCACAGCACAGCACAGCACGACAGACCACACCACGCCGCGCCACAGCACGCCACAGCACACCACACCACACCACAATACAACACACCACAACACAACACACCGCAGCGCAGCACAGCACAGCACAGCGCAGCACAGCGCAGCACAGCACAGCACAGCGCAGCACAGCGCAGCACAGCACAGCACATCGCATCACAACACAACACAACGCACCACAACGCAACACAACGCAGCAGACCGCACCACACCACGCCACACCACAACGCAACACGCCACACCACACCACGCCACGCCGCACCACACCACAACACAACACACAGCAACCTATACCAACGCATCACAACACTACACAACCCAACACACACACAGACACGCACACGCACACACGCACGCACGCACGCACACAGAGAAACACACGCACAGAGACGCGCGCGCCCGCGCACATGCGCACGCATGCACGCACGCACGCGCACGCGCACACGCCACGCACCACGCACCACGCGCCACACGCCACACACCACGCACCGCGCACCACGCACCACGCACCACACA